AAATGGCAAATTTCTTTATTAATGCAAAGGTGACTTGGTTTATCGTTACTGTGACAAACGAAAACACTTTATTTGATGAATCCTTAAAGAAAATTTTAATTAATATCAATCAGGAGAAAAGTTATTGCAAAAATATATGTTGATCCCTAGACACTTTTGATGTGTGTATTATATGAGACATGTCTCCATGCCTCATATTTCAGGAAGAATGTTACCTAGTACAAATAACCCTTATAGGTTCGACCACCCAGACTTATGATATTATAACAACGATAATGTTAAGGAGAGAATCATGACGCACGACGGGCGCCACTCGCTGAGTCACGGGAAGCTGGTACAGGCAGACCATGGTGATTTTATTATTCACTTACTTTGACCACGGTTTTGTTATTTGTTTCTACATATAAGGAGCAAAACTGCTTTAGAGGTGAAACTGAAATGTACAAAGTGCAAGTATAAAATATATTTACTTTTACTTATAAGGCAACAAGATTTGCTGGAGAACGTCTTTTATTTTTTCGATGTACTCTGTGTAGCTGAATTGAGTGATATATAGTTATAGTTAATATAGTTGAGTGACTTAAAAATCTTGTTTTGTAGGTACTCTAAATAAAAGCAAATAATAGTATGTTCATTTATTAATTTTTCTACATTTCAAAAATACCGCGAAAATGACTTTGATGGATTTAAGGATGGGGGAAAATACCATAGTTATTGTGACAATAAGTGATTTTAATTTTTGTTTAAAGTGTGAAGTCGAAAGAAATGAGATTAAATTCACAAATAATTGGGAAAATTCCAATTAATACTTGCCAAAAAAAAACAAAATAAGTTAGAAATAAAACGCTACAAAGGGCATTGAACAACACCAAATTTTCACTGTTGGCTTGAAAACATTTTCAAATAAGTACTGCTCGTGTGTGAATTCATGGCTGGCATACTAAATAAATTTATATTTTTGAGCCATATTCATAAGTTTGCTCGAACAATGAGAGGTACAAATAAACTGCAAATTGTCGACCTGATCTCTTATCTTTTTGTGGAAACGACACACTTTATATTTTTTTCTCCGTTTATGCTCAGCTGGGCGCCTGGTTTTTGTGGACCGACGAAATCATGGCCTTTGACATCATTATTTCGGAGGTAACAGGCGACATCATCCATATCTCCCAAGTAAACTAGATACTTACTCACTGACTGACAGTGATCAAATTATTCGGTTTCATCTACCAAATATCCAAAAAATTAAAAAATATAAGTTCAGCCAAACTTTTCTTTTAATACTTATAGGCAAGGCGTTTGACCACAATCTCGCCTGATGGAAAGCGATGATGAGCAAAGCATACAAACAAACTCACTTTCGCATTTATAATAATAAGGAAGAACAATTATTGAAATAAGTAATAGGTTCTGCAAACCAAATAAAAAAAAAGTTTAAGAACTTTACAGTAGTTTAGTGTTATTTTGTCAACCATTCAATTTGATTGACGTCATTTACTGACGTTATTTTTGACCATGTCTAATCCAATGAAGATATGGGTCTAATGACTACCTATTATACATCGATGACATTAACTAATTAATTACAAACTCTTGAAAAAAAAACACTATCAAGTTCTCATTGCGTAATTTAAGTAACATAACATGTTACATTACAGTTATATAAATATACTAGATACCTAATATAGTGGTAGTACAGGCAGGTTTTCAACAATATCCAGGATGTTCGCTCCGGTCAACTCTCATAGGGTTGTCACTTTAATTATTATTATTCTAAAAGTAAGCTTTCATGTTTAATATATCCGTTTGATCTAGAGAGTGGGGTCAAGGAGCAACGTGGGGTGAACGATTGGAATTACATTAAAAATTATTTTTTATTGTTACAAAAATATTTCATGATAATCACCATCAATATTGCTGGGCCTTCCCTTTTGATAGAAAGTAACATTTAAGGAAAAGCGGCGTAATAACCTATCATGAAAATTATCTTTTAACAAAGTCAGCATCTTTGCGTTTGCCATGCATGCCGATAAATTCACACCCAGTTAGTTACAACTCCATTATGGATTGTCGATCTGGAATAAGTTTCAAGAGTTAGTTATGACAATGACACGAAATATTTCTGAATCGAATGACTGTTAAAACAAAAGGGACAAAATTCCGACTGTATGACTGGGATATTACTTCAGAATCTAACATTTTTCGGGATAAAATGTTCCAATACGTAGTACCAATTTTCATGGAAGTCCGTTCAGTAGCTTTTGCGTGATTGAGTAACAAACAACTTTCACAATATTAATAGTTTAGAATAGTACGATTATAATATTATAGTAGGATTATTATTTATAAATGGAACACAGCATGTTATAAAAATCCCATAATGTATATAAATTCCTTGAGCAAACCTCATTTATTTTTTTATTTATACTTTATTGCACAAATGAGTGTACAAGTGGCGGACTTAATGCCATTAGTAATTCTCTAACAGTCAACCGGAGAATTATAGCAAAGATCTTAAGAAGGTAGTGCAAAAATAGTTCATCAAAATATCATTTACTTACAACTGATGACATTTTATTGAGTTTTTTTTTAATGCTACGCGTCACTACTAGACATTGGCGAAATTTCTGTGTAAAACGGAGAAAGCCACAGAAACAAAAAAAATGCTACGCGTAACTATCTAAGATCTTAGCAGCCCTAGAGTGCTTTACCAGCGTAGGAAACGGACCGAGGCGTATCGGATGCGTCGCGGTGCACAGTCCAAAATCAAATTTCAATGGTCTTGTAATTGCGCTTGGTAATCAACAGTTATCTAGTGGTGGCCGTGATTGACATTGATACTAGTTTTTGCCACGGTTACGGAGCCGTTAACCGTGGGACTTGACAGCTGGTGGGCATACGATCGCTTGTTGACACACGTAGAACAACTACGGGTACTGTTTAGATGGACTCATATTTCAATTAAAAGTGATTAACGAAATCAGGTTCTGTAAACGTTATCGTTGTCCTCTATCAATTCACATAGATAAGTAAATATATAAGAACTTACATAAAATTTAATAAGTACTTATTCTGTTTGTTTTCAAACGAAGCCCTGTTGAGTCCTTTATTATGGAAATGGAACTGTGTCAATCTTATTTCTTGTTAACAAGAGTAACATATTAATTTTTACCTTTATTGTTATAATTCATCACACTACATATTGTAAAACAACTTCGGACTTCGGGACTTCGGAAGGCACGCTAAGCCGTTAGCTTAGCGTGCCTTCCGAAGCACGGAGGAACACGAGATAAAAGGTTTTTGGTCACCCATCTAAAGATTGATCACTGCGAAAGGTGCTTAACTTCAACGATCGCAGCGCTAACCACCTGTGCCACCGCGCTCCTTTTGGAGTTAGTTTACATATAACTCGAGTGAATGAACATTTTCTCAATAATAATATTGCACGGAAAACAGTGCGTTGACGGCTATTGTTTAAAGTATATTGCATGCTGTATTATTGATTGAAGTGAAGCAATATTCATTGTTTCCTACTGTTAATAGTTTCAAGGCTGAATAAGGAACAAAGTGTTTTGTGGCTATTGAAAGTCATTGCTAGCCCACAAAAACATAGATCCTAGGATCCTATATCATCAAGGACCATCAGAGATTAGTGAAGAAAAAATCAAAAGAACCTTGATGGGATTGCGTACTTGTATCTCATCATCATCTCACTTTTATCTCATAGTTAGTTCTCATGACCATCTTCAGGCTCCATAACCAAATTTTCAGATCAGCCGATCCGTTTTATTCCAATTTGCGCAGTCATTATGTATGAAATTAAGAACTTATAATAATTTAATACCTACCCACTAAAACTTGGCTACTTAATTAGGCCCCTCCTATCAAACGGGTGAATCTATCCGTTTCTTTGCCTAATATCTATAATAATCTGTTTAAACAGAAAATTAAGAAATTATTAATTGATAAATGTTATTGTAGTGTATCAGATTTTTTAACTGACAAATTGTGATTTTATTTTATTTTTATTCTACTATGTTCATAGTTATGGCAAATTTATTGACATTTGGAATTGCAAGTACATATTGCCATGTTATTTATAGTTTTGGCCAATTTTATTGACATTTGATTATTAAATTGATATTTGAAATGCAACTATTACTCAATTTAAATTTGAATTTTTAGATAATTTATTAGTATTTTGTATGCTCTTCCAAGGGCGAAACATATGGAACTTTTTATATTATTTACTAGCCGTAACAAACTATGTTTCATGCAAATAAACTTTCAATTCATTTCAAAAAAAAAATATCGTCGTTTAAGAATCATTCACTTACAATATTGATGGGTACTTACAGTTATGTACCTGCTGATGGTTGCCTAACTTCTTGTCGCTATATTACCACCTGGCATTTAGAATATATTACAGGAGCATAAACATAACCGACGTGCATTTAGCATGGCGACAAACAATGTACAGGCAATTTGGTTGGTTACGTTGTGTATTAGAAAGTGGAGAAACAGAATGCATTTTCTTAAGAAAAGTTCTCCCCCGCCATGAGTATCTATGAGGAAGAGCATCATCAATGCCTGCTCAATTGAATAACGTATTTTATTACATACCTTTGCAGTTTCAAATTATAAATTATACCTAATAGGGATGATGATGGGGTAAAGAGTAAAATAAAAGTATATTTTTCTGTCCATCAGGTTGATTCTCAAAAATAATGGACACGTATTTTTTCTTTCGTCAATGAAGCAAAAATTTATAAAGATAAAGCGCGTCTCGGGACACCACTTTTTAGTAAATATTTTATGAAAATATGACGACACGCGAAATTTAAATCAGTTTATCTCTAAGGTTTGGATTACGTAAATAATAAAAAACGTGGCCATTACTTTTTGATATAATCTCCCTGAAAGACGTAGAAGAAAATGTGCTGATTGAATTAATATAATAAGAAATACGTATTATAAAACTGTTTTGTTTTTTGTTTCAGTGGCCGTAGACGTGGACGACAGACCCGTCCGCTTGGAAATCTGTGATACTGCTGGACAGGTACCTACGATTTACTTATTAACTCACTAGCGATTGCCCCCTACTTCATCTGCCTAGAATATATCTTTTAAGTTCGACGTATGCGTATTCCAAAATTCATCAAAATCGCTTCAGCGGTTTATGCGTCAACCGTAACAGGTAGGTAGTAAATCTTAATACGAAAATATTCTATATTCATAATAACGTTTGCTACGTTATTATGAATATAGAATATTTTCGTATGCAATATTTAAAATGATGCCAAAATGTAAAATTATCAAAATGACAAATATAGGAAACGTAAACTTCATAATGAAACAAAAAAAAACATTTTCAAATGTTGCAATTGTATTAAATTACTTTAAGTGGGCAGTTCTGAAAACTTTTAGCGTGCTCGCGCTCTACGTATGAACAAGAAGAACCTTGTCTATATATCCCTCTGTTTGTCAGACAAACAGAAATTCAAATGCCATTAAAGCATAGACAGTGCAGAATAAGTAGGTATAATTATGGATTTAAAAAATATTAATCTGCCTCAAGTAGCAATTTTTTCGAAGCACTGCCAACCGCGAAAGGGGTACATGAAAATAATAGCATAATTATGTTACAAAAATTGGCTTGTTAAAACAACATGTAATTGCAAGAAAGGAACTAACTGCTGTGTAGACTAAATCTTTTCGAATGACTTTCAATAACGAAATGACTTTATAAAATCCGTACTTATTTTTACATTTCCACGCTTTGTCAGATTATACGTGTAGGTACTATTCAGGAAGTAATGCATTGCTTGTCTCACAAAACTACAATTCACAATGAGCACCTGAGTTTTATTGAGCAATAGATTACTAACAATCTACATTATTAAGTATATTAAAAAAAGTTACGACACACAAAAAACAAGCACGTGCATTAATTCACATGGGTACATCAGACGCGGAACGGAAAGGTGATTCTATCTGTCTTCAATGCAAAAAGATCTTTTTTTGTGTTGATTCCCACAGTTTCACAATACTGCGTGTCGTCTACCTGGCAGTGTTATGAATATCCTATTGTCCACCGGCCATTGTGGAGTGAAATGTCAACATGTCGCGTTTTCGTCGAATCCGCAAGAAATTCTGCGTTCGCACGAACCAATGTTTGAAAAATATAGAAATATAATACACGGTTTTTGCTATCAGCAGATGATGATATCATTGATATTTAAGATAAAATACATAATTTTGTTCGATAGCGGCATTGAATCACTAAGAACCAAGTGCGTTTGCGTTATATTTGGAGAGGTTGTCGAGATTATCCAACTTTTGTAAAGTTCCAGTGTACGTACTTAGTTATTTATTGAATCCGTTTTTAAGCCCATCATTCATTAGCACTTAGTATTTTTTTCCTTAAGTCATTAAGTTCGAACAAGTCCTTATTGGGGTGGATTTGTGAGAATTTATACTACTGCTGTGCTGATGATGCACCTAGTCTTTTACCATATTATCATAGGTGGTCACCTGCAATTCAGTGCAGCACCTATTATTACACTCGTGATACCTACCTTGACCATAATAATGTCCTTTATCCCATGGGCTCTTGATTGTCTCTATTTATTATTAGAAACATATTTCTAATCTAGTATTTAGATAAAATCTATTCATAAGCTTTTACCTATCAATCCTTATCTGTTTCAGTCATTGATTTATATTGTAATTTTAAGATAACAGTATTCCTACCCGAGTACATAATACATCAATGATTACAATCAAGTTTCATATCTATATTAGTGACACAATTATACGTACTTTTAACCGAATCAATCACAAGCTGGAGTGGCATTCTGTAAAGACACATTTCACTTTCGAACGCGGATCCGTTACGGATTTTATCATTGGCATTCTGTAGTCAAGTGAGAATCAACGCTAGCGCTACTAGGCGAGAGTGGCGGTGAAATGAACTAACGCAGGATATAGCTTGACAATATGCTCAAGGATTTGAAGTTTAATGGCATTCTGTAACGAATTTTACACTCACTTTCGGATCCGCACTCGAATTGTTATGTCAAAGTGACTTAGTGTGTAGCTATGGCAATCAATCAAACAAACTTTGCTAATAAATTACGATTTTTGTTTATAGAAGATCTTTTAAAGTAAGTATTTTTAATGTAAGTCTCATTGTTTATTTAATAATTCAAAAACTCATGTCCACCTATTTTTTGAGATCTCACTCTATTGCCTTGTGCTTAATATTAATGTCAAGAAGTATAAATGAAATTGCCTCAATTTTAAGTCATCCAGACATCGTAAAAATATATAACATTTCTGCGAAATGCATCAACACCAAGTGTTAAAGGAACAGTAAGTAAACTCTGATTAACTAGAATAACCAATAAGTTAAATATTATATTATAAATCAAGTAGACCAGTGTTTCTTATAACTTTTACAATCCTGGCACAATATCAGAATTCTAAAAAATCTATGAGCCCGTGTCTTAAAGTATTTTATGTAATGAAATCATAAAAAAATACTTTTATTGGCAGTTTCTTTAGTAAAGTAAATATTAAATGAGCTATTCTTTACCTTTGTTACAGTTTTTTTGAGAAATTTCAAATACCTGGAGTTGTTGTTTGCATAGATGGTATCTTTGTCACCATGATACGACCCAAAGAAAATGAAGAACGGTATTATTGTCGTAAAGGTAAGCATGCAAGAAATCTTCAAGTAGTAAGTACCTACACCTTTAACTGATTTTCATCTATTTGTTACATTCTTAAAACTTGTCATGATTCATGAACATATAAATAAATAAGATTATGTAAAGATAAATTAAAAGACTGGAATTAAATTTTGTAAATATTTTGTTACAGATTGTTGATGCCGATCTCAATGTTTTGCATGTCGATGCCTCATTTGTTGGAGCTAGCCATGATAGGTTTATTTGGCACTGAGGTTCTTAGAGAAACCTTTAGCTAAATCTCTATTAGCTGCCAGGAACTCGATCAAAACATTAAGCTGCTCTACAGAGGGATGCGACGATTGTGACACCACTGCAAAAAACAGAAATGATTTTAATATAAATTAAAACTTCAGTAATCAAAACCACATTTTATTTAACTTACTTCATCTCGCCTCTCTTCTACAGTTTTTCAAATGAGCCAAAAACAAACTAAACAATGACCGCAATACGTTTGGAAGTGGATTTTCTTAACAAATATAATTTCCACATTGAACTTTTGGGAATATTAGATGAGATTTCTATATGGAAAAATACCGCTTTTGATAAAATCGCGCAAAAACCTTAGTAGGTATTTGCATTCGTTTACCAGGGTGCGTCCCAAACTACGCTCTAGGTGAAAAAAATGTCAAAATTGACATCAGTTTCATACTTTTTTATGCAACGATATTAAATACCCTAGATGCAACACGTGCGCTCAAAATGTGTCCCAATCAAGAAGTGCTTGAACGCGACTCTAGCACTACTTGACTCATAGTTACGCGCGGACTGTTGAAAATCAAGATGCCGCAAAGCTCCGTGAAAAAATGCATAATAAATACTTATAGTACGTAAAGTGTCCTTTATAGGTATCTAATAAATGTTTGTAAATTTAACGCATTTGAAGCAAATAATTATGTTCTAATACTTACTATAAATTGATTTAATAGAAAAAATGGGTGCGTGTACTTATGTAGGCGCGTGAGAAGTTATCCTTCTTTGGCATCGTTTAAAATTAGTTTTTAATTGCATGCAAATAATTAATTACAATAAATTAATAAAAAGTCTGGAAAAGGACACAGTCAATAAAGTTCAGTTTTAATTTGAAAAAATAAATAAATAATCAAAATATTCAATTAAAATCGCTACTGAATATAATTTATTAGAACATATGTGATTTGCACTTGTATGAAACTCAAACACGTATTCCGAATATACAAACTAGAAACATGTGGATAAATATTATAAATATGAATACCTATAACTGTTACTTTATTACAAAAAATAAAGATGTGGTTTTTGGTTCTACTACACCAATGGTCAAGAGATGGCGCTGTAGTCTCCTGAATCGCGCTTTGGTTCCGTTGTTCCAGATTAATAAATACTTTTGATAGGCCTTCACAATGCAGTCGTTAGCATCCACTAAATAGAGATTCTATTTCTATTTTGATGGTAGATTTTCTTAATGTGCGGTAAACACAAAAGTAACGCATGAAGTTGGTCGCTCAAGCGACCAACTTCATGCTGTTAAAATTTTGTGTTACAGTGATGCGCGCGCATCTTAAAATTTCACTCTCATCATTTTTTCATAACGTGCCTAAAGAAGTATAACTTCAAAAACGTGATATTCAAATACATGATTGGTACTATAGTTGTCTCTTTTCCTCGCGGTCCGTACCTGCTATGTTGCTGATAGCGCATCTTCAGTGCGTAGAGTCAAAGAAATATGGTCTTTATTCTTACGCGTATAGCAATAAGTGGTAAAATTTTACGAGCTTGCATTTTGAACTATCATAACTCATTGACGCATGCGTTTTAATAAAGACCTTTGCATTAAATGTAACTTTGAATGTTTAAATAATGCCTTACATTGTTTTTGACTACGCGATCATCTTACGGAGCTCCGCGTCGTCCAATTTACCTTTTGGACAGGTTCCAGCCACGATTTTGTTCGTGATGTTGTATCTAGGGTATTTAATATCGTTGATTTTATGTCAACATTAAACGTTGGTAAAAAGTTCCACTCATAGCCGTAGGTTTCGAACGATGCCCAAGTGCGCGGAGTACCATTCTGTTAAAAGTTTAATAGATAGATACTAGAATCGATTCTTGGATGATTCTTTAAACCTAAACCTTAATTTGACAATAGTGTATCCTTGTCATTATCTATACAAAATGAAAAGGATACTCTGATGAAATTTAGTTTAAGTTTAGAGAATCATGCCAGAATCGACACCGATGAATAATTAAATTAATCCATTTTATGAAAAACAGAATCAGCAATTGCTGCAATCATAGACATAGTTATAATCATAGATATCGCTGAGGG